GGAATGCGCCCGAAATACACCCGGAATGCACCAAAAATACACCAGGAATGCGCCCAAAATACACCCGGAATGCACCGGGAATGCACCGGGAATGCGCCCGAAATACACCCGGAATGCACCAAAAATACACCAGGAATGCGCCCAAAATACACCCAGAATGCACCGGGAATGCGCCCGAAATACACTCGGAATGCGCCCAAAATACACCAGGAATGCGCCCAAAATACACCCGGAATGCACCAGGAATGCACCGGGAATGCGCCCGAAATACGCCTGGAATGTGCCCAAAGTACACCCAGAATGTGCCCAAAATACAACGGGAATGTGCCCAAAATACACTCAGAATGTGCCCAAAATACACCGGGAATGCGCCCGGAATATGCCCGGAATACACTCGGAATGCGCCCAAAATACACCGGGGATGTGCCGGGAATACGCCCAGAATACACCCAGAATGCGCCCAAAATACACTGGGAATGCGCCCGGAATGCGCCCAAAATACACTCGGAATGCGCCCAAAATACACCGGGAATGTGCCCGGAATACATCCAGAATGCGCCCAAAGTACACCGGGAATGCACCAGGAATGCACCCGGAATGTGCCCAAAGTACACCCGGAATGTGCCCAAAATACACCGGGAATGCACCGGGAATAGACTGGGGATGTGCCCAGAATACACCGGGAATACACCGGGGATGTGCTGGGAATACACCTGAAATAAACCTGGAATGCGCCCAAAATACACCAGGAATGCACCGGGGATGTGCCGGGATTCCACCCGAAATACACCGGGAACGCGCCCGGAATACACCAGGAATGTGGCCAGAATACACCGGGAATACACCCGAAATACACCCGGAATGCACCCAAAACACACCCGGAATGCACCCAAAATACAATAGGAATGCACCGGGAATACACCGGGAATGTGGCCAGAATACACTGGAAATATGCCCGAAATACACCCAAAATACACCAGGAATATGCCTGAAATACACCCATAATGCACCCGAAATACACCCGGAATGTGCCCAAAATACTCTGGGA